CACTTAGGGGGGAAGGCTTCATCATCACCCCAACAATATTTAGCTTAAACAGAGTAGCCTTAGGCATCACATTGAGTGAATAACCCGTATCTACCCAAACTCAAGATAAAACTTTATCCAAACACTTCATGGAAACGTGCAGATCTTTGTTGCGGGCTCTACCTTGAACTGGGAGATCATCATCACAGAAACCCAAACAATTTACCACAACAATATTGGTTATGATCCCTTCAAACCGGGCCATCGAAATGTCTTGCGTAACATGGGCAGAACACAAAATCTTCAGTAAATCGTTGCGGTGGGTCTCTGAACACAAGAGGAGAGACAATATGGAGATCTTGGATGGCGTCTGATTAAGTTGGTCCACCACTTTGTAATAACTTCTCTTAAGAATCCTCAAAAGTTGCTCCGCTTCTTGTCCTACAGAAGGTTCAGGCTGACTATCAATCACTTTCTTTCCCCTAGCCTTATCCAGAGCATCACTGTTAGTTTCTTTGGGAGGCGACGGTGGGGGAGAAAAGATCCTGCCACTATGAGTCATGTTACTGGTTCCTGTAATGCTGGTAATATTCTTGCCAGTCACTGAAGGGCACTCTTATTTCTTCCAAGAATATAGACCACATTATACTCCCATGGAATTGCTTTTGAGTTGTTACATCGAGGAGGAATAAGAGCTTGAGTTGTCGCGGGGGTAGCGGGAGCTTGAATCATTAATGGGGTAGTAGGAGAATGAATTTCCAATGGGGTACCTGGTGTTACTGAGACGCTTCTCAGATGATAAGGAATTTCCAAGACATTAATTTCTTATCTCAAAATATCGTCTCTACCTGTAGGACACCTTCATCCATTAGCTGTTGGATAGCCGTCTTCAAACTAGTACACTCTCCAGGTTTAGAGGAACATGTTAAGCAAAAATCATGGAGTTCCCGCAACACCTCGTGCTCCAACAAATTTTCTCTAACAGTTCCTAATGACATCTTGATCTTGTCAACCTTGGTTACCAGAGTCTGTTCACTACTTTCTTCAATAGCATTAACCAATGCCCCTGGGTGAGGAGGCATGGGATTATTCCGAGTACTGGGACCAACAAGGTTGGAATTTATGGCCTTTGCATCGAGGAGGTCTTGAACCATACACTTAAATGCTCTACAATATTCAATAGTGTGGCCTGGGGCTCTTGAATGAAATTCACAATGAGCATTAATGTCATACCCCCTGGGGAGAGGATTAGGTGGTAGACCAAGTTCACGTAGTTGAACCAACTGATTGGTAAGTAATTGAGGGAGAATCTAAGCATAGGACATAGGAATGGAATCAAATCTTATTTCAGGCGCTCTTTATCTCTACGGAGCTCTCGGAACTTGAGGTAGCTGATACTGTTGTTGATAATTTTGAGGTGGTGCAAATTGTTGTTGTGGAAGATATTGTGGTTGAGGAGTGAAAAGCCATTGTTGGGCCATCCAGGGTGCTAGACTTGTAGAAGCATATTGTGTTATGGTGGAAGAACCGACTGTTTAAATACTAGTTTTGCGTTTGTGTTTGCAAATGTTGCAGTAAGCAAGAGTCGCCATCGACTTTTCTTTTATCCAAATTAAGGAAAGGGTGAAAAGAACAGAAAAAGACCTTTCCGAGAATTTTCTGATTAAGGGGGTAGATTATGGAAAGGGAAGGTGTTAGCACCCTTTCCATCAGTAGTTATCTACGTGCTCTTAGAGGTTTGCTCATTTTGAAATACCTTTGTGCTTTGTGTGTTTGAAAATGCCTTAGTATGACAAACTTTGTAATGTTTCTCGGAAATGTGGAGTAAGTATACAAAGTTTCTTAGAAATGTTTTTTAAAAGTAGTTTCTTGTGTAAGTGCAAAGATGTTTTGAGAAAACTTCTAACAACTATCTACTTTTATACTCGAAAAGGGTCACTCTTTTCCTCCTATCCTTTATACAGTTCTATCCAACTATTAGTGAGTAGGTAGCCCTATCGTTGGATGTAGGAGGGACATTCGAAAGGGACGTT